TTTTATTATTATTACAAAATGGTACATTTTTTTTCGTTGTTAAGTTAACAAGCAATTTCTCAATTTTAATCATTTAATTCATAGTTACCAAAAATACAAAGACACTTGTAGATTAACGAAACTTTATAGTTGAAAGATACATTTTTAATTAAGAAGCAATTACTCAATTATATTTATTTATCCTTTTTATTTACAATTAATACAAAGTGACCATATATTATTTGTAGCATGAAATTAAACGGAGCGATATAATTTGTGCGATACGATGTTTTTTTTGTTTTTTTTTACAGTATATCGTCTCCTTCAGTTAATTATGTATTTGTTATTTATTATGTAACCATTGTTGTATTATTCCTATAAAATGTTTGTGTTTGAATTGAAATAATAATAATAATAATAATAATAATAATAATATTAATAATATTAATAATAATAATAATAATAATAATAAGAATAATAATAATAAGAAGAATAAGAATAATAATAATAATAATAAGAATATTAATAATAATAATAATAATAATAATAATAATAATAATAATAATAATAATAATAATAATAATAATAAGAATAATAATAAAGTAAGAACTAGAGGGACCCTGTACCTGAGTCGTTGACTTGTAACACCGGGGCACCACAGGGGTGGTTTCTGTCGCCCTTGATCTTTTCGTTATACTCATCTGATGTTTTCAGTTTTGCCATATATTATTGGTAGCATGAAATTAAGCGGAACGATATAATTTGTGCGATACGATGTTTTTTGTTTGTTTTTACAGTATATCGTCTCCTTCAGTTAATTATGTATTTGTTATTTATTATGTAACCATTGTTGTATTATTCCTATAAAATGTTTGTGTTTGAATTGAAATAATAATAATAATAATAATAATAATAATAATAATAATAATAATAATAATGATAATAATAATAATGATAATAATAATAATAATAATAATAATAATAATAATAATAATAATAATAATAATAATAACAACAATAATAATAAAGTAAGAACAAGAGGGACCCTGTACCTGAGTCGTTGACTTGTAACACCGGGGCACCACAGGGGTGGGTTCTGTCGCCCTTGATCTTTTCGTTATACTCATCTGATGTTTTCAGTAATATTGGTTCAAGTAAATCATATTAAGTTTGCTGATGACACTTGTCTAATTAGTCTGATTTAAAAAAAATTGACACACCCTTCTTTAAGGACTATGTTGAATCTTTTATTGTATGGTGTAAGGAGAATTTCTTGTACTAAATGCCAAGAAGACTAAGGAAGTTATTGTCGATTTCAGAAGGAAAAATAAAACTAATCATGAAAATATTGTAATCGGTAATGAAAATGTGAAAATTGTTGAAAAACACAAGTACCTGGGATTAATAATCAATAATGAACTTAACTCGGAAAGCAACACTAAAGAACTCCATACCAAGGTAAAATAAGAATGTATTTTGTATATAGAATGAAACTGTTTAATATTAGCTCTCATCTTATTCATTTTTTCCTCGGTTGTCCAATTAATCCTTTCTTATTGTATTATAATTTGGTTTTCTCATTTCATCATCATCTAAATGTTTCTAAGTTATAAAACAAATGGTGAAAAAATAAAATCATAAATGAAGAGAGTGCCATTTCCCGCCATCAGAAGTCCCATAATCAAAAATGTTTTTACATAGGATAGGTCAGCAGTGATTCTGTACTAAATATCTGCAATACAGTCACCTATCTGCAAAACCATCTTGGTAGTACCAGGGAACAGTTTCACTATTCCCTGGTAGTACAATGCCATATCATCTAAATCACCATCTCCAATATAATATACAGCAGCTATATCTGGTATTGACTCATGTGTGCTCCCTACACCTGATATAGATCCTAGTGTAACATCTCCTGGGGCTGGTCGTTAATAAATACTATATTCGAAGTATCGGTATCTAACAGAATGTCATTAAAAGATTTATTCTGCATGTCACTTATGTCTTGCAATGACATGATAATAATATTTCTAATGCAGAATCATACTTTATTATACGATACTAATTGAGCATTCATATATTTGTTTTTAAGTCGTCGATATAGCAGAGCATATCGCATTGGGTATTATTCAACGTATTCAAGAAACTACTTTTGCTGCACTGGATGGGCTGAAGATGGACTAGGAGGTTGTCCAATTCGTAAGTCATGAATATAAAATAGCTAAATAAATAAAGACACCGAGTGAAAAATATATCAAATAAAATTAATTCACAGATAAATAAGATCTTTATATCTTAATATCTAACATATCGTAGCAAATAGATATTTACTGAAACAGATTACAA